TCGAGGTAAACAAACCATCTCGGCCCACCAGCGGCTTATCCCGATGGTCTGGGAGCCAAAGTTCGCTGACCCCTGAATTATAGGGTCGGCTTATGAACGGGTTATAAAAATTTTCCATTTTTACGTATCCATCTTGGGGGGGTCGGCTTATAAAGGAACCGGCTTATGATAGAGTATATACAGTATGTATAGTTTCCCCACCAAAGAAATATTTCAAACTGCTGTCAAAGTTTATAATCAGAATGCATTGAACACCTCTGTTGTGTTGTGAGTCAAATGCCTGAATTACAAAGAAGTGAAATGTTCCAGTTAGACATCTTTAATACAGCAGATGCTACAGGACTCGGCATTGCCTCAGTTCTTGTCAGTTTTTTAAAAATACTTTTACGCACACCCTTACTTTCAACTCTTGTAAGAAAAAATGGTAATATTCAAACAGTACAATATATTTTTAAATGTCATTATTCTAATAAACATTCATATAATCACACTATTATTATGTTAACACATTTTACTACTATGAGATAGTGAATCCTTCATATTGTGAGGGAAGCATTTAATTTTGTAGAGGTTCATTCTGGCATGACCTTAACTTTAGAGGCATATGTAATACATTTCAGTACACCTGAAAAGGAGCAAGGAACCAGTAACTCTAATTTATTTTGTCATAGAAAAATAGGTGCATGAAATTATGACATTTGCAATTAGAAGAAACTGAATATTTAGATTGGGTAGATATTTTAACCACTAGTTTCGTGGAATAGCAATTTGAGAAGAAACAATTTTCATGCTTGCATATTTTCAGCTTATTCATTCGTAACTGAATGTTTCCAGCCTGTGATGATCTGGAGAATAAAATACCATGAATAAATATGTAACAGCCTTGAAGAGAATTGATGTGATGCTATCTCCCCTAACCTAGAAAAATATCTGCACAAGCATTTGATGTCCAAAGTAACTTTTCACAATTGACATCCTGTGGATTTCCACACAAATAAAGGCTTGAAAAGTAATTACTGCTATGTCAGTACTCGGAGACTGTGGACTTTGGTTTATCCTTCTTATCAGTGAAAAAAATGTAAACTGAAAATATTTTTGAAACACAAATAATGCAATGTACTCAAATTTCACTTTGCTGATAGGAATATGTTGCTTATCATATATTTCACATAGGTATAGTTTTAAATTTGTTTAGACACAAAACCGTTATTTTATTTTCCAGGTTGAGACTGCACTATATTGATGTGATGAAAGTTTCCACAGCACTGACGATTAGATGCAACATTTGCTATTTGCCGCATTTTCAGATTGAAGGAAACTGAAAATCTTTAAGTGTATCTAAAACACAATTTTTCTTGTTAGTTTTCCTGGCCTCTTTAAAATGATCATTGCGAGGCTTCACTGTAGGACATTTAGCAGAAGAGCATGATCTCAAACATCAGCAAACATTCTTGTGTTTTTGTTCATGACTTTCACAATCAAGGCCACTATCCTTATGGGTAACATTTGTTGCACCATGCTGATTTTAGTGTAGAATGTTATAATTGTAAGCTATTACTCAGGGAAATTACGTGTTCAAATTACAAGTTGAGCTGTTTGAGGAAAATTCACTTTTGGTTTATCTGTTTTGCCTGGATTTTGAAGAATGCTGTTCTTTAACTCCACCATTTAGTGGAGTGAAAAATAAGAAAAGGATAGTTTAAAGTACAAAATGGTGCTGGATTCTGCAGATAACTAAGCTTGTGGGTTGCCCCATTAAATTTAACGGAACTAATGTGAGTAAATGATTGGTCCCTCGTGGTTTAAATGAATGTTTCATATTTCACTCTTTGGACTTGATACACAGAAATGAAAAGGATGCACTAAACACATTTCTAAGTTATCACTTCAGAGTTTTCTTTAAGGTGGTGGTGATTTTTTTCTTCTACTCAGAAAGGGGGGTTTGTTGTATGGGCAGGTGCTCTGTGGAAATAAAGAGATTGTGAGACATTAATTGTCAATATCCCCTTCTTAATCAGCATCAGAAACAATCTTTTAAAAAGAAAACAAGGTCCTACTGAGGCTGGTCTAATGCTTTGAAGACTTTTTGTGTTGCACCTAGATGCCATCGGGGTGGGTTCATTACAAATCAGTAGATAGCTGTTGGGTGGAGACAGTAAATATTTTTTTCTGAAAAATTGCTACATACGCTAATTCTCACTGTCGGTTTCCATGCAATTATCATCATAGTTTTTCCTTTTTTAAAAGAAGTTGAAATAATAATTAAAGTCAATAAAGAGTTTAAATCTCAGAATTCTCTTCTGGCCTCCTTAAATCTAAATTTGCTTGAATTAATCTTTAGTTAAATTATCAGAAGTAGGGAGAAAGAGTCTTCAGTTTATTTGTCAAGAGCTGTGCCCATTCACAAGAGTCTGGTGCACTGACAGCCACTACTAGGCATAAGAGCATCCATTTATTGCAGTCTCCTTATAATGTTTTTCTTATATGCTAGTGAACATATATGCAAAGTGCCTTAGCCTCAAGATTTATTGTAGGTTTGAGAAGGCATAGACATAAAAACACTATTTTGCAATCGGATTGAAAAACTATCATCACATAATATATATCTTTACTGTTGACTAATAGCCTTTTCTGTATTTCAAAATACAGTACAACTTTTGTAACGTTTGTAAAAGATTTCTTTTCCATAATTGCCAGGTTACTGAAATCATTAATACATTTGTAAATTAAAGCATTCTCAACTTTTTTCAAGTTGTCTAATAAAACTGCCTAAATGTAGATGACACTCAAGTTGTCCTGTGTCTGTCTTTTGTTGGTTGTGTTTTGAATTTTTAAAAAAATTCTCTGCCTTTTATTACACCTAATGAAGAGAGAGGCTAAGAAACAAAAGCATAATTAACGTTTTAGAGCAAGGATAATGAGCTGCCTAGATGGTCAGTGCTGATGGGATCAAAGCATGGTGAAACAAGTTTCAAAAACCGTATTCTAATTCAGATAGGAACAGTTCCCATTATCTAGTAAAGGTTCCTGCCTAGATTAGAATATGCATTTGGAACAGTGTTCTGCCATGCTTGCATTCTGTTGGCACTTGCCACCAAAACTATCTTAACTCTTAAGAGCGCTGTTCCACTGCACCTGAGTTTAAACCACGTTCTAGCATGCTTATTAAACCTGGTGAAAATGTGGTGGAGGTGGGCCCTCCTGGAAATTAGTCTTTCCTTTAGAGCTTATCTCTAATATAAATTGAGTGCTCTGTAGAAGTTTTTCCTCACGTTCTTCTCCTATTGATCTAGCAGAGGAACAGCTGCATGAGTGGTAGCAAGAATGTTGACTGAGCGCTTGTGTTTTTACCACTGTATCCGCTAACCCCGCTCTCAACAGCTGTGCAACTAGCTTGCTTTGTGCAGTTTTGAGCATTGACTTAACTTTCCTCTGCCTCGGTTTCTTCATCCATAAAATGGTAACAATATGGAGCTGGGGTCTTCAGAGGCCTAATTTATTTTTTTATAGACCACCTTGTACTCCTAGACTAATTGTCACCACACTTTATGGGACTCTCAAAGAATATACACAGTTCATTATTTAATTCACTAGTGAGTAAGCAATGTGCCTGGGTATATGTTAATACTGAGAGAACATCTGTTTCCCATCAAATGGAAGCTGGTTCCAGATATTCTTTTGGTAGGTTAGTCCATGTTGGCGCTCAACTTCATAACTGCCACTCAAAGCTTGTGTGGAGAACCTTTCACAAGAGGACTCCCCTCCTTTACAGATATTGAACATAAGAATGGTTATATTGGGTCAGATGAGTGGTCCTCTAGCCCAGAATCCTGTCTTCCGACAGTGGCTGGTGCTAAATGCTTCAGAAGGAATGAACAGAAAAGGGCAATTATTGAGTGATCCATCCCCTATTGTCCAGTCCCAGCTTCTGGCAGTCAGAGGTTTTAGGGACACCTAGAGCATGGGTTCCATTCTTGTCCATCTTGGGTAATAACCACTGATAGAC